CTGATTGACCTCAAATTTTGCACACAAGTTATAAATGACATAGCGAAAGTATTCAAATTTTCAGAATTGGATTTCGACCCCGATATCAAAAAGTCAACTCCCCGGTCAAACTTCCCAAAAAATTAATTTCCTCCCTTTTAAGCCTAATTGCACTACGGACCTCCAAATAATTTTCTGAGTACGCTCCTAAGTCAAAAATCACTATACAGAGCTGTTGGAATTATCAGAATTCAAATCCGAGGTCTTTTATATATAGGTCGACATCCGGTCAACTTTTCTAACTTAAATTTTTAATTATGAGACTAAGCGTCTCATTTCACTCCGAATTCCTTTCGGACCCGAACCAATTAACCCGATAAGTCATAAATTATTTGTAAGGCATAAATTGAGCAGTAAATGGGGGAACAGGGTTATAATATTCAAAACAATCGGTCGGGTCGTTACATTCTCCCCCTCTTAAACAAATGTTCGTCCTCGAACGTGTTTAGAATCATACCTGGAGTCTTAAATAAGTGTGGATATTTGCTCCGCATCTCCTGTCCAATTTCCAAAGTAGCTTCTCCGACTGGCTGGCCCCTCCACTGTACCTTCACTGGTGCTATGTTCTTTGACCTCAGCTTTCAAACCTGCCGGTCTAAAATTGCCACCGGCTCCACATCATAAGTCAAATTACCGTCCAGCTGTACTGTACTGAAATCCAGAATATGAGACGGATCCCCGATATATTTTCGGACCATGGATACGTGTAACACTGGATGAACACCTGATATACTAGGTGGCAAAGCAAGTTCATAAGCCACCTCTCCAATTTTCTTTAGTATCTCAAAAGGCCCAATATACCGAGGACTCAACTTGCCATCCTTCTGGAACCTCAACACACCCTTCATGGGTGAAATCTTGAGCAGAACCTTCTCCTCAACCATGTAAACGACATCACGAACTTGCATGTCGGCATAACTCTTATGTCTAGACTATGCCGTGCGAAGCCGTTCTTGAATCACTTTGACCTTCTCTAAAGCATTCTGAATCAAGTCAGTACCCAATAGCCTAGCCTCACCCGGCTCAAACAAACCCACCGGAGACCGGCACCGTCTCACATACAAAGTCTCATACGGAGCCATCTGAATGCTTGACTGGTAGCTATTATTATAAGTAATCTCTGCGAGTGGCAGAAATTGATCCCAAGAACCCCCAAAATCAATGACATAAGCACGTAACATATCCTCCAATATCTGAATAGTGCGCTCGGACTGTCCATCCGTCTGAGGGTGAAATGTTATACTTAACTGAACCTGTGTGCCCAATTCTCGCTGCACTGCTCTCCAAAAATGTGATGTAAACTGCGTGCCCCAATCTGATATGATGGACACTGGTACACCGTGTAACCGAACAATCTCACGAATTTAAATCCCAGCCAACTGCTCCGAAGAATAATTAGTACCAACTGAAATAAAATGCGAAGATTTGGTCAACCGATCTACTATCACTCAAACAACATCAAACTTTCTCAAAGTCTGTGGGAGCCCAACTACGAAGTCCATGGTAATACGCTCCCACTTCCATTCTGAAATTTCAAGTCTCTGTAGTAGTCCACCCGGTCTCTGATGCTCATACTTTACCTGTTGACAATTTAGACACCGAGCTACAAACCTGGCTATATCTTTCTTCATTCGCCTCCACCAATAGTACTGCCTCAAATCCTGATACATCTTCGCGGCACCTGGATGAATGGAGTACCACAAACTGTGAGCTTCCTGGAGAATCAACTCACGCAAACCGTCTACATTAGGCACACATAGCCTGCCCTGCATCCGTAAGACCGTAATACATTGTCATCTCCAATAGTGACTTCCTTGGCATCACCGTGTTGAACTGTGTCCTTAAGGATAAGCAGATGTGGATCATCATAATGGCGCTATCTAATGTGATCATATAAAGAAGACCGAGAAACCACACAAACCAAAACTCGATTCGGCTCTGAAACATCCAATCTAACAAACTGATTAGCCAAAGCCTGAACATCCAAGGCTAAAGGCCTCTCTGTTACCAGTAAGTATGTTAAGCTGCCCAAACTCTTCGCCTTACGCCTCAAGGCATCAGCCACTACATTGGCCTTTCCGGGATGATAGAGAATGGTGATATCATAATCCTTAAGCAACGCCAACCACCTTCGCTGCCGCAAATTAAGATCCTTCTGTTTAAACAAATGATGTAGACTCTGATGATCAGTATATACCTGACACTGGACACCATACAAGTAATGCCGCCAAATTTTCAAGGCATGAATAATAGCTGTTAACTCAAGATCGTGGACTGGATAATTCTTCTCATGTACCTTTAACTGTCTGGACGCATAGGCAATCACCCTACCGTCTTGCATAAGCACTGCGCCGAGACCAATACGCGACGCGTCACAATACACAGTATAAGACTCTGAACTTGTAGGCAACATCAATGGAGCTGTAGTCAATGTTGTCTTGAGCTTCTGAAAGCTCTCTTCACATTCATCCGACCATCTGAATGGAGCACCTTTCTGGGTCAATTTAGTCATAGGCGATGCAATATACGAGAAACCCTCCACCAAGCGACGATAATAACCAGTTAAGCCAAGAAAACTCCGAATCTCAGTAACTGAAGATGTCGTGGGCCAACTCTGAACTGCCTCTATTTTCTTCGAATCCACCTTAATTCCTTCACTGGACACTATATGTCCCAAGAATGCCACCGAACTAAGCCAGAACTCACACTTAGAAAATTTAGCATAAAGTCTCTCTTCTCTCAGCCTCTGTAATACAATACCCAAGTGATGTGCATGCTCCTCCTAGCTACGTGAATACACCAGAATATCATCAATAAATACTACGACAAATAAATCAAGATATGGCAGGAATACACTATTCATCAAATGCATAAATGTTGCTGGGGCATTGGTTAGCCCAAAAGACATCACAAGAAATTCGTAGTGGCCATAACGAGTTCTGAATGTCGTCTTTAGAATATCTGAATCCCGAATTTTCAACTGGTGATACCCAGATCTAAAATCAATTCTGGAGAACTCCCTCGCTCCCTGAAGCTGGTCAAATAAGTCATCAATACGCGGCAAATGATATTTATTCTTGATTGTAACTTTGTTCAACTGCCTATAATCAATGCATATCCGCATAGTATCATTTTTCTTTTTCACAAACAGAACCGGTGCACCCCAAGGTGACATACTAGGCCTAATAAACCCCTTATCAAGGAGTTCCTGAAGTTGCTCTTTCAATTCTTTTAACTCAGCTAGTGCCATACGATACGAAGGAATAGAAATGGGCTGAGTGCCCTGCACCAAGTCAATACCGAAATCAATATCCATGTCGGGTGGCATACCCGATAGGTCTTCAGGAAATACATCCGAAAAGTCTCACACGACCGGTACTGAATCAATAATAGGAGTATATGCATCAGCATCTCTCACAAAGGCCAAATATGACAGATATCCCTTTCCAATCATACGTTGGGCCTTCAAATAAGAAATTACCCTGCTAGGAACAAAATCTAGAGAACCTCTCCATTCAACCTTTGGCAACCCCGGCATCGTCAACATTACGATTTTTGCGTGACAGTCAAGAATAACATGATATGGAGACAACCAATCTATACCCAGGATTACATCAAAATCAACCATACCGAGTAATAAGAGGTCAACTCTAGTCTCTAGTTCCCTAATGGTTACCACACACGACCGATACACACGGTCTATAGTAATAATATCGCCCACCGATGTAGATACACAAACATGTGAAACTAAGGACTCATAGGGCATATCGAGATAATGGGTAAAATATGATGATACATATGAATAAGTGGAATCAGGGTCAAATAATATAGAAGCCTCCCTGTGGCACACTGAAACAATACTTGTGATCACTGCATCTGAGGCAACAACATCTGGCCTGGCAGGAAAAGCATAGAATCGGGCCTGACCGCCACCTGACTGGCCTCCCCCTATTGGGCGACCCCTAGCTGACCACCCCGAGCTGGTTGGGCGGATGGTGGAATTGCTGGTGCTGGTGCCATCAGTCGAGAACTCTGCTGTGGAGCCCCACTCAACAGCCTAGGACAATCTCTCTTGTAATGACCAAATTCCTCGCACTCGAAATAACCCCCTCTTCTAGCGGAACTGCTGCTCCTGATAACCCGAAGAATTACCTGAAGAAGCCTGAGCGGATGAGGCATGATGAGAACTCTGTGATGGTAGTGCACTGAATGAAGACTAGCCCGAGTGAGTACTGTAAGAACCGTGGCCAGATGATGCACCACGATGAGTGGACGACCCGTCTAAGCGTGTCTGTAAGAACGACCCCTACCGCGATAAAATTGACCCCCTGAAGGAACACCGTTGTAATCACCTGGACCACGAGGCCTCTTTGCCTCTCTCTCTCTCTCTCTCTACGTTCCTAGCTACGAACCATCTCTATCTGCCAAGCAATGTCAACTACCTCATCAAAAGTAGCACCAAATACCCCCTCCCTAGTCATAAGTAACCGTAGCTGATATGTGAGGCCATCAATGAACCTTATAATCCTCTCCCTATCAGTGGGAACCAACCAGATTGTGTGACGAGACAACTCAGAAAATCTCATCTCGTATTGCATCACAGACATACCATCTTGACGTAACTGCTCAAATTGTCTGTGCAGCTCCTCTCTGCGAGATTGCGGCACAAACTTCTCCAAAAAGAGAATGGAGAACTCCCGCCATCTAAGTGGTACTGCACCAACTGGCCTGCGCCTCTCATAAGCCTCCCACTATTTGAAGGCAGCCCCAGAAAACTGAAAAGTAGTGAACGAGACCCCACTGGTCTCCAGAATACCCGTTGTCTGAAGTATCCGTTGACACTTATCCAGAAAATCTTGAGCATCTTATGACTCAGTACCGCTAAATGGTGGAGGTCGAAGCCTCTTAAACCTCTCAAGTCTCCTCTGCTCATCATCTGCCATAATAGGAACTACTGGGACCTAAGCAGCTGCTACCGGTTGGGCTGGTAGTGCTCCCGGTATATGAATTTCCTGTACTACTTGGTCTGGAGTACGGAAAACAGGGGTATGAGTTCCTCCCCCGGCCTGAGAAGTGGCATGTGCGGCCTGAGCTGAAACCACCTGAGCAAGTCCAGTGCAAGCTGTCAATATGTGGGCCAAAGTCTCCTGAATGCCTGGAATCTCAATGGGCACAGCTGGTCCTATTGGCTCAGCTATATCTGGAATCTGCTCATGAGTTGGAGCAACTGGTGGTACTATAGGTGTTAGTCCAACTGTGGGACGAGTTACACCTCGACCTCTACCTCGGCCCCGCCCTTTACCATGGCCCCGACCTCTCGCGGCCCTAACTGGTGGCACTGGTGGCTGGCCGTCCGATCCGGTAGTACATGTCCTCACCATATGTGAGAGAATAGAAAAACAGAATTTTAGTTTTCGAAATCAACAAATTCGCACGACAGAATACAAGAAAGTGAAGTTTTCCAAAGGGTTCTGCAGCCTCTCGAAGATAAGTACAGACGTCTCAGTACCGTTCCGTAAGACTCTACTAAACCTGCTCATGACTCGTGAGACCTATGTAACCTAGGGTTCTAATACCAACTTGTCACAACCCAAATTTCTAACCTGTCGTGATGGCGCCTATCTCGATACTAGGCAAGTCGACAATCTTAATACACCACAATTTCTTCTAAGTTTGAAAATATAATATTTAAATACAATTCACAAATCTCGCAAATACCGATACAAACACTCCCAAAATTCGGTGTCATTGAGTACATGAGCATCTAATATGAATACAAGTCTGAAAAATACCGTCTATAATAGTCTGAGACCAAATAAAGTAAATGAGGAGATAGGGAAGGAGAGGCAAGGTGTGCGAAACACGGCAGCTAGAAAGGTATGCAGGTTGAGAATTAAGATAGAGGGTTAGGTAATCGAACATTGTCGTTGCTTGTAATAGTAGCTTTAGTGCATTACTTAGTATCAGTCATGTATTTTCGTAATCTTAGATTTCTGTTATTACTTGTTGCTTCGCTTCGGTTTTCCGATTGCATTACTTAGTATTCGTCTTGTATTTTCGCTTCGTTTTTGCGATTAGTTTGCTTGTGTTGCCCTTTCCTTTTATCTTTCCTGAGCCGATGGTCTACCAGAAACAATATTTCTGCCTTCTTAAAGGTAATGCATACACACTACTCTGCCTAGACCCACTTGTGAGATTACACTAGATTTGTTATTGTTTGTACATAATTTTTTATATTTACACTAATGTGACAAGTTGTAACCATTATATTATATCTTTTTCGCGTTAAACAATCATGTTCACAATAGGAAAAGAAGGTAACTTTAGGAGGAAAAGGGACGTAAGAAAGCAATAGCAGACAAATGGGACTAAAAAATTCTACAGCATTAAAAAAAAAAACATTCAGAACTTCTACAATTTTTACTCCATATTTCAGCATATCACCAATAAATCATATAAACAACTGTCTTATGCATGAGAAAATCAAACAAAATACCAAAAAAAGAAAAAATTAAGTAGAAAGGAAATCGAAAAGGGATAGAAATATTTTGTAGCTGAAACAGTTTTCTTGGCGTCTTGCATCCTTAAATCAAGTGGCTCCAAATCTGATCGGAAAGGGAAAATTTCTTGAATATTATTACGACATTTATTCAATTTCACTTTGTTAAAACTCTTATCCTGCAACTTATAGAAAATAACTTCATAATAATCAATCATCAAAGCAATGTCCGCATTATAAAACCCAACTAGCCTTGGATATTTTGTGACTTTCTTTAAAGTTTCAATCTCAACTTCCTTTTTCAACTCCCAACTTTGGTTTCCATTCTCAAAAATCCAAAGCTCCATCCCTTTTGGAGACAAACAAGTAAACCCCAACTTCCCATTATACTCCACAAGTTGATTATATCCATAATTTTTGTACTCCATTGCAGGTTTTGGAAGTGAAAATCTTGGAAAAGCTTCTTCTCCATTATAATTCAGAGCCATAACTAAATCATCTCCTAATTTAAAGTAAACCAAACCACTTGCATTTACTGTTGGAGTGAACATGTCAACATAAATTTCTTGAGGGAACAATATATCTTTTCTTTTCCTCCACTCCCAAGCTTCCGAATCAAAAACTTCGCTACGATAGTAATCAAGTCCCAGATTGATATAATGATGATAAACAGTACGAGTCGACGATAACCTAATTATCTTGAAGTTCAATGGGTTTGATTTCAGCACAATGAGAGCTAGTTTGACAGTAGAATAACGCATCTTAGGATTAGGAAGTTTCACCCATTGCTTGGTACTAGGTTTACACACATAGTACCTATACTTGTGCTTTATTCTTCTAAGACAACATAATATTCCTTGTTTTGAAGAAGCTTCAATCTTAATGTCACAGTCGTAGTTGAAAATTTTATCTTTCGGTTTTATAGTTTCCATTGGAAGATACAATGGAGTTTTTCCCGAACATCCATTCAGTGATACGAACTCGGTTACGTGCTTGCTTCTGGACAAAGACTGAACAAAATACCCTGAAATATTATGACTTTTCTCGCAAAACTGTGGCATGAAACTTGATTCAGAAATCAAATTGTGCCACTGCTTGTTGACGGACTTGCATGTATCTAATGTTTTTAACGAAGTTCGAGTTAATATCTCGAAAATTATATCTGAAGGAAGTGTAGAAGAAGAAGAAGAAGTAGAAGCCATTATCGGGGACAAGAGAGGAGAAAGCACAAGTATTAATGGCGATGGACGACGTCTAAAGACTATATATAGTAACAAAGGTGGAATGAAACTTGGACGTAAAGCTATTCCTAAGTAGAATAGGAATATGAGGCGCAAAAAGCTGTCTATGGTTTAATACAATTTCCAAGAATGATTAGGTATATACTTACTTACAAATTACCATACTTAGGTAGAACTCTTTCCCAGAATGATTAGGAGTAGTAAGTTTCATGTTTTCTAACTCGTTTTTGGTAATTTTTTCTTGCAAGGGAATAATAAGCGAAACACGAATGACATATAAAGTGAATCCATATCTCAAAGTAGCGAGAAGTGAGCTATTACCTGAAGTGATACTATCAACAAACTAAGGGGTTGTTTGGTGGGAGGGATTAAGAAAAATCAAATTCCACCACAACATTCCACATAAGATTTGGATATCTGGCTGGAGGAATTAGGAAAAATAATCTTCTCGTATCTAATGCATCGATTAGCTGGCAGTCTTAACTAATACGTACACTAAGTTACATGAGAATCGATTTATTATTTCATATTGTATAGAATATGGAATAAGAAAACACTCACAGACACGCACAAATTTAAGCATTTAAAGATGAAAATGATGGTCTACTTATCAAGATGCAGACCACCCCAAGAAACACGAGTCCGGAACCAAAGTATGGTTCATTTGGACACAAGAGACACAAATAGGTTTAAAAAAAAAATTTGGGCACCGTTTTATATATAGCGCGGTTATTCACTGCACTATATCTTAACGACAATTTTGTCCGTTAAGGTATAGCGCGGTGAATAACCGCGCAATATATAAAATATGGCCCCACCAATAATTCACTTGCACTTAACTGACCCACCAATAATTCATATGGGTATAATGCCTATTATGCATGCGCTATACATCCACTAATTGTATCCCCACCCCCCCACCTCCCCCGGACTATTTTTTTTCTTATTTAAAGAGGTTTTGAATTTGGTAAAAATCCATTTAGCATCCTTCAAGTCTTCCGAAATATTTGTTTATTAAGTTATTTTGTATTTTGTCATAATGTCCGAAGAGCGAAAAATTAGGGTTTTATTATATTGGGGGATGAGGTTGTGGCGGAGAATAACTCAGTACGCTATAGTTGTTCTCCGCAGTGTCATGCTAAGTTGCCATTTACAATGGAGTACGATAGATTGGTATCGTTGTTATGTAAAAAAATGAATGTGAGCAAACGTTCGGTGAATATTAAAGTAACCGGAAGATATCCGTATTCTGTTACTCTGCAAGGGGTTGCTTGTTATGCTGAGTTTAACATCGAAGACGATGTAACTCTGACAGATTTATTGAGGACTCCGGATGAACACCGGAAACTTCTTGTGATAAAAATGTTGGAAATGCACGTCAAGGCGGAAGACGTTCGCAATAATGAGGTTCCGCAAAGTAGGGATATCCCTCAATCATCGGGTGGTTATTTTGGAGCAGTTTTAGCCGAACAGGTTCCGGGTGAAAGAGTTTGGCATGATCTAAACTTATCTCCACGGGTGAATGAGGACCGATGATATAATTTCTCCCCAAGTTTACATAATCCACAAGTCGAGTGGTAAACTTCAGTTTTCCTTTGTGTTACGATGTTTATTTTTATGTATTGAATTTGTATTAACACTCATATATTCCACAGGGGATACCGGCCAGATATGAATTTTACAAGTTATGAACTAACAGACAGTTAGAATATCGCTAGTTTTTGTGGTGTTGGATCATGGTGGTCCATCCGGGAGTCATCACCAACAGGATAGTGTGCATCATGAGATATCAACACATTATGATTTGTAAGTGAAGTGATAAAGTTTATATGTAAAGTTTGAATGAATTTGAGAAACTCATTATTTTATTGGTTGTGGAGTGAAAACGAGCAACTTGAAGGTCATGTCCTTACTCAATTGCCCGAAGACGACATATTTAATCGGGATCTGCAGATGCGCAGAGTCAGGAAGATAATAGTGATTATGACAACAATGCTGATGAGTCTGGAGATGACACACCCTTCTCTGATGAGGGTCATGATGATGAGGCCGAGAATGATGAACCTGACTTGACTAGAGAGCATGCTCCACCTCCCGTTAGACCAAGAGTGTACGAGTCCTATGTGCCGTTTCATCCAAAGGAGATTCCCTACCTTGATCAGTTGCCAAGTATGCCGGATGTGGATGCCCTCACAAGGGATCTTGACGAAATTCGGACAGCAATAAGGGATGTATCTAGAACAACGGTGCTGTCAAAGAGCATGCATTTTGCTGATAAAGCGCGCCTAAGCAAGGCGGCGCGAATGTACAACATAAAAGAGTGTCGTGAGATTGTGGTTCACGAGTCATCTCCGGATGTATACAAGATTATTTGTCATAGATGGTTTCAAGGTTGTAATTAGATGTTGCGTGCGAGAAAGTTGAAAACAAATATGTGGATTGTGGGTAAATACATAGGCACCCACATTTGTGAAATGGACACATTCAGTGGGAATCATTTTAACTTGAATGTTGACTTGATTTCTCTTATGTTGATTTCACACATTGAAGCGTCAATAAGGTACAAGATCAAAGAGTGTATAACATCTGTCCACCGGGTATATGGGTGTACCATTACCAAAAGAAAGGCATTTCTTGAGCACAAACGTGCGTTTGAAATTATTTATGGTAACTGGGATAAATCATTTGCATCTCTACCCATGTACATGGCCGCATTGAAACACTTTAACCCCGGGACTGTTGTTGAATGGAAGCTTGAGGAGAGTCCGGGAATATCGGAACACATATTCAGATATGTGTTCTGGACATTTAAACCAACCATTGATGGTTTTGTGCATTGTCGATCGGTAATATCCATAGACGACATTAATGTCTATGGAAAGTACGATATCAAGTTGTTGATTGCCGTTACAGTAGATGCTAATGGAAGTATATTTCCCCTAACATTTACTATTTGTGCCAATGAAAGCCAAGAGACATGGACATTATTTTTGAACCACTTGAAGAAGCACGTTATCAGACAGCGTTAAGGTATTTGTCTAATATATGATCAGCAGCAGCACGAATCTCGTGTGCCGGTCGATAACCTCCGGCGGTGAATCATTCGTAATCTCCGCATTCACCGCCTCCAGATGCTGCCGGACGAGCGTCAGCTGCAAACGACTGGCCCCACTCAATGCAGTCTCCTCCGCTGGCTGGAGTCCGGTGAGCCGCTGCAACATATGCAGGTAATACAATCCCATGTAGTCTTTGAGAGCATGCGGGTAAGCTACATGGGGACCTCCATGACGATATTTGTAAATTTAACAATATGAATTAAAGTATTTTTCTTTTTAATTGCTTAACATCTTTAAATATATTGCAGTATCTTTTATATTAATATTTAATCGATATTTTTACTATATTGTTATTTAGGTTGATATATTTTCTATATTATAATTTTATATGTTAGTTTATTACCCGGAGCAACTGTTCATGGCCATTATGGGGAAACCCTTTACGAAGGAGATACATTAGAACCTCCGAATAGCGAGACCAAAACCCGTTGCATTATATGTTAGTTTATTATTTTATATGTTAGTTTATTATTTTATATTTTAGTTTATTATTTTATATGTTTCTTTCTTATTTACCTATTTTTGGGTATAATAGAATTAAATAATTAATTTTTATATGAATACATGATTTAATTAATAAGTATTCATATACAAATAATTTGTTTGACAAATTTTGTTGTTTATTAAATTATTTTCTTACATTTGTTGACTAGTATTTGAGAGACTTTATGTTTGAACTATCATACATAACTACAACGATACTACGCTAAAAGGCACTACATTACAATTACGGGCAATACATTAAAATTACGGGAACAACATAACACTAAAGGGAACTTAAATAACATTAATTATTCATAAAATAATAATTTATCTATTTTACTAATCTTTTAGCACATAAATAATCTAATCCGGATAAAAAATAACAAATTAATTTAATCACAAAACAATCACGACAATACATATATTACAGTAAAAAATAACTAATAAATATTTTTTATAACAACAAATAACATTAATTATTCATAAAATAACAATTTCTCTATTTTACTAATTGTTTTAGCACAATAATAATCTAATCCGGATAAAAAATAACAAATTAATTAAATCGCAAAACAATCACGAAAGAACATATATCACAGTAAAAAATAACTAATAGGCATTTTTAATACATGAGTTTTAACAAAAAATAAGTCGAAATACCTCGATTTTAAATTTTTTGAAAGGTGAAGGTTTGAAGATTTAATCGTGATTGTGTGAGGTTGTCGTACCATGTATCTTTCATTTCTTTCTTGTTCCTCCTAATATGTGTGACAGCTAGGGTCAACTCGATGAATCTAACAATATTTATCACGTTAACCAAATGGCTCAGACTCAATTATCCAGTGGCAGAACTAGGACAAAAATCCAGGAGGCACCAGATTTAGCCTCAGATAGGGTACCATCTCCCTTGGTTAGGAGAAGAGGGGGGGTTCACGAACAGGGCCAACTGGTCGTAACACAAAAAGGGGTCGCCGTACCATCACATGACCAGATTTCTTACGGAGGGAAGAATGTAATCCTCCGCATTAACACAAAAATCAGTAATTAGCACAAAAAATTATTATATAATGATAACATAAAATGAGCCAAAATCTACCAAAAAAGGGGTCTTGTGGGGGNGGCCTATGTATTTGACTACTATATATTATGGGTAAACTAAATAATGACTGCTTTGATGAATTGGGATGAGATTAAGAGTTTGAAAAACAAAGGTTGTGAAAGAGAATACATGGAATTCTCCATGTACTAAATGATATGAATATGTTATAATTGGTAGCTTGTTGATGAGTTTGAGTAACCCATGGCATGAGCAAACTCAATTTGATGAATTAAGAGTCCGACATGAAACCAGAAGGTTGGATA